GTTTGCGGCTAGGAGGGGCCAGCCTTCTGGGCCAGGACAGTGAGGCTGCAGCTTGGCCGCCGCTGGATGACCACCCCACCCCACTCCGGATGAGGACCCGGTGGAGTCTGCCTAAAGCCGACGGCAAAAACCTCTCCAAAGACCTGTGCTAATCTGAGTCTGAGCGCTTCTGGAAAACCCTTCACCCTGGAGACACTGGGATTGTGGCTATTGTGTCCCCACAGCCCAGAATCCCTCCTTTCCAGTGAAATTTTCCTTTATTACATAACTTTTTAGCCACTTCTAATGCAACTGGACTTGCATTTCATGTGTCCATTATTAAAAAGCGTGTATTTGCCATCATTTCAAGTTTGTTTAACTGACTCAGAATTAGGACGGACACTTGGGTTTTTAGAAGACCACAGAAGCCCTTAATGTGTGGCTGAAGTTGAGTAGCTGACTTTGAAGCCTGTTTATAAGTTTTATGAAAATAGCATTGACTCTAGTCCTTGTTATTCCCCCTAAATGAACAGCAAAGCCCTGAGACCCTGACAGGTGCCTCCTCCAGGAACATGAGCTGCCTGGCTTCTCCCTGCCCTGAGGATCCGTCACCTGTGGCCCTTTTACACTCTAATGTGCTCTATTTTCATATTTTAAACAAACAAATCAGATTATCCTGTAGCCCGCTCCCTTTCGCAGAGTGTGATCTGCCCCTGTTGTTCCCGTAGAGCCGCAGGCTTTTCTTCTGGAAAAGGCCATTCTTTGTCGGCAGTCCCCACAGATCTCTGGGAGAGTCGGCCATGGGTGGGGCCCGCTGCCAGCCCCGTCACCTGGCGTCTAGACACAGGTCTCGCTGGGAGAGCCGCCCTTCAGTCACGAGGCCAGCAGAGGTGAGGGGCACGTCTGCAGAGCACGCAGCGGGCTGTTCAAGTGGGACTTTGTTTTAGGTTTTTGACCCAATCTTGGGCATTCCATGCTTTGATGATCTTGGGCTTTTCTCAGGAATAAAGTAAAAGTTGTATTTGTAGGTGTGTGTCCAATGTCAGACTGTAAGGCTTTCCAGTGAAGACACCATAGCTTAGAAGAAAGGTCCCTGCTAGTGCTTACTCAGTAGTTGTCACACTCAGAGAGGCCCGCGTCCATTCTGGGGGGTGAACAGCTCTTGACCTAATAATATTTTAGCATATGAGATCAGGGACAGCTGTCAGTATAAACTGTCATTTTCCTTTCATCTGATGCATTTTAACTTTTTGGAAAGTGGACTATTACTCGGTCACTCTTCAGTTTTTTTAACTGATTTTTATTAGGTAGTAAAAAGAATTTCTAGCCGTATTGCTTGCTCTGATTAGCCCTAGAAAGATCACGTGAACCCTTTAGTTAACTATGAGCAAGCTGAAAAGTGGTGTCGTTTGAAAAGCAAATGTAACTTGCCTTCTGTTTTGATAGCATTGCTGAGACACGGTGGGTTAGCAATCTCTTCTTTGCTGTGTGAAGGCGGAGAAAGGGCAGGTCTGGCGCCATCCCCTGTCCTTGCAGGGACTCTCTGGTCAGACCCCCTGGACTCCGTTCCTCCTCTGTCACCTCCAGCACCAGGATCGACCCCGGCCTCTGGCCTCCTCGCCCTCTGCCTGCTCCTAGTGTGGGCGTCATGCAGGGTCAGACTTTGACCTCCGCTCCTTTCATGATTCACACTCGAGGGGGCCGTGCCGGGGGCCCTGCTGGGGGAGGGCAGGGTGGAGGTGAGACTGCGGGGCTGACAGTTTTGTGTCTAAAAGGCAAAGGAGATGCACATCTCAACAAACCAAGAAACAAAGGAGTGTCGTTTTTTATCGTGGCAGAAACCAGACAATATGTCATTACACATAATAGTGTCATATGGGTATACATGTATCAGGTGTGTGTATAGAGAGAACTTTGGAAGATATTCTTGTACATTCTGCATCTTGAGAAACTTGATGACCTTTCAGTTACTGTGCCGTGTTGGGAACAGTTGGAAGACCCCATGGTTGAAGTAATTTCCTTAGGGAAATACTTGAGATGTGTGTTAGCTCCTGCCCAAGCGTGGGCCCGGTGCCAGCGTGCACCAGGGCTGGCTCCAGGCTAGAAAGCGCCCAGGGCTGCAGGCATCCTGGCCTCACACAGACACAGAGACAGACTGCCTTGAATCCCGGATGGATCACAGCCCCACAGTGTCCAGGCTTTGCTCCTTGGACAGTAAGGTTACACCAAGAACAGAGCGGCTCCCAGGCAAAGGAGAGAAGACGGGGCAGAGGGAGAAGGCCCGTGGGGAGACGCACGATCGCTAAACTCAAGGTTGGTCAGCGTGTCACAGTCCCCGCCTGGGGCCTCACTTCTGGCCCATGGATGGACCCAAGGAGGCCCTCTCCCCTCTCTGGGTCTCAGTTCTATCCTCCCCAACGTGGGTGAGAGAGTGCCTGCTGCACAGGATTGCCAGGAGGCTGAAAAATAAAGTCCATGCAGTCGACGGTGGCACGCGGTCATTGATCATGGCCACAAAATCTGCAGAACACAGAGGCTCCCTCGGACCAGGGTGGTCAGAGCCTGGAGATCCGGGTCCCTGAGACCCATGCTTGTTCGGGAGTCTCAGCCACATCTCCGGGGTGCTGCGGTGCTGTCTGAGTGTTGCGGCAGGGGGACGACGTGATTGGATTTTGGGGCATGGGGTCACTCTGACTGTGGTGTGAGGATGGAGAGCAGGAGAGAGCTGGGCAGAAAGCACGGTGGTCTCTTCCCAGCCCCGTGTTCACTTCGCTCCTCGATTAGGCCGTAAGAGACGCCAACAAGATCCTATGCACTGATACAAAACTATCAAAAGAAAAAATTGCTACCTGGTCAAAAAGCATAAGAACAACTGCATTCATCCTTCTGCAAACAGCCCACAATAATACAATCATTAATATAAACAAAAATAGAGTTTGAAGCTCATTGTCAGGCATGGCTGAAGGGTGGATTTTATATTCCAGTATAATGTCGAAAAGCCCCTAAAGCTTCTGTCCTCATTCTCATTCTCTCCTCAGTCAAACCATCACACTCTTTTTTAAAACTGTGTTTGTTTATCTTTGGCCGTGCCGGGTCCTCGCTGCTGCGCGTGGGCTTTCTCCGGGTGTGGAGGCGGGGGCTGCAGGGCTCGGGCTCCAGCAGCTGTCCCACGGCGTGTGGCATCCCCCCGCACCAGGGATCGAACCCACGAACCCTGCGTTGGCTGGAAGAGTCTTAACTACTGCACCACCAGGGAAGGCCCCCTTATTCTCTCTCTCTTTTTTTTTTCCTTATTCTCTTTTAAATAAAGGTTCTTAGCCTGGGGTTCATCCATGGACAGGCTTCAGGCAACATGTGGACCCCCCTGAAACTAGAGGCACATGATAAGCACTTTTTTCCACGTGGGGAGTGACCACACAGTATTCACCAGATGCTCCAGTGACTCAAGAATGCCAGAAAAAGGCCAAGAACAAGGGACTGTGTCTCTGTGGAAAGAAGACTGGAGTTGCACTGACGGGATTGTTACTGGACATGAACTGACTCGGCTGCCCAGACCATGGCTCTTCCCCGCCCCAGCACCTCAGGACGTGGGCCGTGCATCCCGCTCCTCCACCCCAGGCCGAGCCCTGGACCCCCCCCCCCAATGCAACTCCCTCCCTCACCTCCCTCCTGCTCCAGCCTCAACCCCAGAGTCATCGTCTCTTTATTTTTCACTCTGCATCCACATCTCAGGGCAGTGACCCATGTCCTCAAGTGGATTGGGGCCCTGACACCACCCCGGTCCAGTCCCCAAAATCCTTCCCTGTGTGTCTCAGCGGCCTGGACCCTGCTTGTCTGCTTTGCCCGGACCCCTCTTCAGTCAAATCTTTGCATCAGCTGAAGCGAACCTCATAACCTTCCAGGAGCCCCATCTACCTTGAACAAAACCTAAAGTCCTCAGCCACCCCCTGTGGCTTCACGGAGCTGATGTGATGTGATGTGCTGTGACCCCGATCGTGTGCGGGCCCCCTGCCTGGAAGGTTCTTCCTGCGGGTTCCTCTGTGACCGCCTCTCACACGACCCACTCCAGAACCCCCTGTGCTGCACTGTTTTCCTTCTGTGCTACATGTATTGTATACTCACTGCATATTGTCTGTCCCCTGGTGTAATGGAAGCTGGTAAGAGCAGGGAGTTGTTTGACCTGTTTTCTTTCAGTGCCTCATCTGAAGGACCTACACAGCTCCTAACCTAGAGCAGAAACCCGGGCGTCTTCCCTGAATGAATTTTATTTGGAGAATTCATTCAGTATCTTCCTACCGCATCCCTTGTGCTCTGCTCACTGTCATTCCCCATGGATTGCATCTGTCATCACGTGGGATTGTTCGAATGGATCCTGTTTCTCTTCTAGTTCACCTCTTTACTTAAAATAGCAGTTGATACAGTGTTCTTTATTGAACCTTGTCATTCCAGAGTTCCCCCAGAGGAACCTGAACTGCTACTTGGCAACTGAAAGAGTTCCCCTCTGTATGCTTCTTACAGGTTCTTCAGATTCAGTGCTATCCTCAGTGGCTTAATAAAGAAATGCCTTTAAGGTCACCGTAACTTACTCAGATTACCATAGCACAATGTTGAAAAGCGCCGTGCTGGTTCCGTATTTCAGTTCCTGCGGCCATGGCACTGTTCAGAGTGTAAGGGCACCTCACAGGTGTACTGGTCGAACTACTTCAATTAGCAGTCGTTTTACGCTTTATCACATGCTTGTGCATCTGTGCTGGGAACAGAGGAGATATTTTTATAAGATGAATCGACACCTGCTAATGTGTCTGTTTTGTAAGTTTGGAATTTTTAACACTAGTTATTGCTAAAGTAGGAAACATCTGGGCCCAATACTGAAAGGCTGGGCTTTTTTCTGCCTGAACTGTTCGGAATGACTGTAATAGACTTGAGATCTGAGGCCGTTTTGACACCAGTTCAGGTGGTAAAGCTCCTTCCTCAAGGGTGCTAATCTTTAATATTTCTCTATTTGTCTTACACCGTTTCAGGCTTTACGAGAAGAACTGGAAAACCGCTCGAAACAAGTGCGGTCCATGGAGAAGAAGCTGCAGCAGAAGGAACTGGAGTCACAGGAGCAGGTACTCGCCCACGTGGCCGGCTCGCTCGCTGACGTCCTCCGGGTCCAGGGGCTCGGGGATGGCGGTCGTCCCGTGCCCACTGGGATGCAGTGGCCTCGAGTGGCAGAAGGTCGGGCCCTGCAGCACGTGGACAGCCACGGGGTCTGTCACCCACAGCCTGCGGTGGAAGCCCTGCGCCGGCTCCGCTCCCTCATTCCCTCGTCTCTGTGTCCTGTGCTTTTTCATCCTAAACCAGCTTGAGGGCGGCCACAGTCCCCAGCGTCCTGAGCAGACCTGGCGACACCCAGAGGCAGAGGGGACTGCTCATGTCTGGGGGTCCTGCTCTGAGCAGTGGGGGCGCCTTTCCTAGGAGCAACCGCCCCCCACCCCCGCGCCCACGGCAAGACCATCCTTTTCATCTCATTGGCCAGAACAGGTCACATGCTCAGCTGAGAACACCCAATCCCTGGTGAGAGGACAGAGGGACACAAACTGGCCGGGACCAATCAGGGCCCGCCTGGCGGGGGTGGCCTTACAGGAGGGAGGGCAACCTGGACCCGGCGGAGGGGAGGCGCGTGTTGGGGGTGTAGCTGACAGGATCTGCGTTTTAGGATAAAGGGACACCGTCGTACTTAAAGAGACATGAATCACGCCTTCTTTTGAATTTTAATTTTCTCCTTCTTTCTTCCGTTATGTTCATGAAACAGACCTAATATAACCAGGATGATTCAGCTAAGACAATAGCTAATGACCTATTTTATTTTCAAATGAAAGTGTCTTTTTCATCCAGGTCTTTTAAATTTTACTAATTTTAAACTAAAAAGTCCACAGAGTATCAATACATATCGCGAGTCTTAATGAAACTGTTAATAAACGCATCGCCCTGGGTCTTAAGCTGCAGCACTGCTGATGTTCTCAGCGCTGCCCCCCTGTGGGACAGAGCCCGCCGCGGGTGTGGGCAGACACTTGTGTGCTGCTGTTCGCGTAGTCCGTTCAGCACGGGAACGTCGGGTCGCTCATCGGGACCCTGTGAAGAGCAGCCCCGACCTAAGGCGAAGGGAGACTTGCATCGCCTCTGGAGTTGTTGGCAGACAGGACCCCCAGGTCGTGTGCTCAGTCGTGTCCGACTCTTTCTGCCCCATGGACTGTCCTCTGGCCGCTCTGTCCATGGGGTTTCCCAGGCGAGAGTCCTGGAGTGTGTAGCCATTTCCGTCTCCAGGGCATCTTCCCCACCCTGCAGTTGGACCCTCATCTCCTGCACTGGCAGGTGGATTCTTTACCACTGAGCCACCAGGGGAGCCTGACCCCGAGGCAGGGGACTGCACAAAGTGGCAGGTGTGAATGTCTGGTTGATGCTGCATAGTGGTATTAGTACTTACTGAATGGACTTGGCCTCCCAGAATGCCCTCCCCTTGTCTAATGTTCACCCTGCATCATATGTGTATTGTGGACGTGTCATGGACGTCTGTGTTATGTCTGTGTAGGATATGTCTTGTATGGAGTCCATGCTGGACAGGCAATAGGATCACAAAATATGATTCCAGGATGAAAAATGAGTTGTAACCGTATTTACCCAAGGCCTACAAGATGAGAGACAGTGCACAGAAACGTTACACGAATTAGTTCATTTATGCTGATAACCACCATTTAAGGCCAGCGCTACACTCCGTTTCCCAGCTGGTGCACTGCAGCTCACAGAGGCTCAGTGACTTGCCCAAGGTCACCCAGCCTCAAAATAGTACGGGGTCGGGGGATGGGGTCACACCCTGGTTGATCTGAATTCCAAACCTTTGCTCCTGTCATGACAGTTTTAAGCTACAGCGTTTCTAGTTTAAAAATCAACATAGCAATGACAGGGAAAGTTTATTAAGGATGGCAGGGAAAAAAAACCACCACCCCAGACACCTGGAACCGGGGAGTGGTTAACTCCCTGTGGTCGGAGAGCAGAGCCAACGTGGCCGCAGCTGAAAACACCACCCATGGGGCAGCATGGCCTTTCGGGGGCTGGCCCAGGTCCCGCTGTCACTGAGGTCAGCTGGGCCCCCACCCCGGCCGGCTGGGATGTCTGGAACTGGGAGAAGATGACAAGCTTCTTAAGAGCAGGAAGCATGTTCCCTGAAGGACCGGGCCTCCTCCAGTTTGTGATAAAATATGACTCAAGGTAAAACTCTGTTGACATCACTCTAATTCATGGCAGGACTTCACACAGAAAACCCCATAATAGATGGAGAGTAGGGAAATTAAGAAATCCCAGATGAACAATAGGGAAGGGTTCAGGAACCACTTCAGTCTTATTTTATTGACTTCTTTTTGATCATCAAAGTTGCTTTCATCTTCATAGTGACAATAGGCTTCTAGACTGTTTCTTCCACTAATTCCTGATATCTTCTGTTAGGCTCCAGTTTACCAAAGAAACGTCAGGAAATACCCCTGGGTAAAGCTGAATATTTCATAATCTTTGCAGCCACGAAATGCTGGGTTCTTTCCACAAGATCCTAGGATGTAGCTTAGCAGTTGTTTCAGTAGAACTGGAGAGCAAATCGTGGCGCTTCTTCAGTTCATCTATGTTTAATCTGATTTAACTTCTGTTTTATCTGAATCTGACCTTTCCTTTCGTGACACTAATAGCAGTAGTCAAAAATAATTAGAAGTGTCGTCACTTACAGTCTTCAGGGTCTCGTGATGTGTGTGCTCACTGGGGGTGTTTAAGGGTATTTAAAGTGTCAAGATTGTTTGCGATTTCCTGTTTTGCATCTGTCAAAGCAATTGCAAAATAACAGTAGTCAACCTGACATCAGCCAATCAACCAAAATGTGTGCAGAACAGCCTCTTGAAACTTCTCTTCTCTTTTCAACCAAATATTATTATCCTGGTGCTAGCTGCATGAAGACGCAAAACTGAAACTGGCAGAATTACAACGGATAATTTCCTGGGCATCCTTTTTTATCTTGCTTTAAAAATTTTTTAAACTGTTTCTGTTTTTCATTTAAGAAAAATTCCTGTGTCTTAATTCTATAAAAACAAAAAAGCTGAAAGAGGCATTCTAAAAGGTGTGTTTTTACTTAAACACGGAAAGCTGCTTCTCCTTGGGTCTCGATGGCTGGCGCCCCAGCCGCCCCCACCCCTCGCCGGCATCGGCCTCTCCTCCAGCTCCTCCCCCTCGGCAGGTCGGTCCCCGAGGGCCCGGGAGCCCGTGGCTGCCCCTTAAGTGGCATCAGGATAACACCAGTGTAACTAGAAACGACCAGTTTCCTCTCTGAGCCAGGCTTAGAGACAGGTTGCTGTTGCTTAGTTGCTAAGTCGTGTCCGACTCTTTGCAACCCCGTGGACTGTAACCAGCCAGGCTCCTCTGTCCATGGAATTTCCCAGGCAAGAATACTGGAGTGGACAGAGACATATCTTTCCTTTAAGGCATAAATAGGGAAGTAACAAGCTGGAATCAAGATTTCCAGTAGAAATAGCAACAGCCTTAGATATGCAGATGATACCACTTTAACGGCAGAAAGCGAAGAGGAACTACAAAGCTTCTTGATGAAAGTGAGAGAGGAGAGTGAAAAAGCTGGCTTAAAACTCAGCATTCAAAAAACTAAGATCATGGCATCCAGTCCATCACTTCATGGCAAATAGATGTGAGCAAAGTGGAAACACTGACAGACTATTTTCTTGGGCTGCAAAATCACTTTGGACAGTGACTACAGCTAGGAAATTAAAAGATGCCTGCTACTTGGCAGAAAAACTATGACAAATCTAGATAGCATATTAAAAAGCAGAGACGTCACTTTGCTAACAAAGTACAAAGGTACTCTGACCACCTGATGCAAAGAGCTGACATTGGAAAAGACCCTCATGCTGCGGAAGGTGGAGGGCCAAAGGAGAAGGGGGTGGCAGAGGATGAGATGGTGGATGCATCGCCGACTCTGGACGTGAATCTGAGTAAACCCGGGGAGGGTGAAGGCCAAGGCTGCCCGGTGTGCTGCTGTCCACGGGGTCACAGAGGGCTGGGCGCGACTGAGCGACCGAACAAAAACAGGAAGGTAATTTTAAAACCCATCGTTCCTCTCCACGCCAGGAGTTAGTCATATCTGATTCCTGATAAGGTCTGAGCGAGCGTCCCAGAACTCCAGTGGTGGAGGGGAGGCCGGGGCTCTGAGCAGACCTCCTCACTGTGCGAGGAGATCAGGGGAGCCCATGACCTCCCGTGACGGAGGCAGGCCGCCCGCCCCGGTGTCATCGTCCACCGTGTTGACCGCACTGTGCCTGGGTCTGTGCTGGACGTCACTCAGGCTCAGCCTGCGTGTGAAACCAAGTGTCCTTTTCGGGAGCAGCGGTGTCTCATTCACAGTGAGACCAGGTGATCTGCAAGCCTCTGCCAAAGTAATTCAGTAAATTATGGAAAAGAAGGGAAGAAAAGAAATAGTCTAAAATTTTACCAGTGTTCTTAACACTGTGCCAAGCCAGGATCTGTTTATCACAGGGGCACTATACAATGTCAGCCTTGGACCTAATACATAATATAGACAATACCATACGTGTAACAAAGCCACTGCTTTGAACCAGGCATTTTCAGTCTCAAACGTGTGAACAGCTTTGATCACCTAGATCACTCAGTTTCCCAGAAGATTCTTTTAAATAAATCAGTGAGAACTAGTACTTGGAGATCTAATCAATAAGATGCTATTCCGTGCTTTCCACAGAGGATCATCCTTTCTTTCCTGCACACATCGCTCCTGGGCCGTGCGAGGTGCTGGCCTGCGACGGAACCGGGAAGAAGCCTGGAGGGCGGGTCCCCTCCGCCCTTGAGGGGCTCCCAGCACGGGCGAGCAGAGGCGGTGTGGGGTGCAGCTCCAGGCTGGGGTTTGAGGATGCGCTTCTCCTCCTGTGGGGCTGCGAGGCTCAGGCCCATGAGGCGGGAGGCTGCCACCCTGGCCCTGCCCGCTGTCTCCCCGACCGCGGGGGAGGCTGCCCCTGGGCAGGGCCTGGCACTTGCTCCCCTGCAGGGCCTCCGGAGCCTGCGGCCAGGT